AGGAATCCCACTCCTGAGCTTGTATCCAGAAGGAAATCTACTTCAGGATGACACCTGCACCCCAATGTTCATAGCAGCACTATTTGCAATAGCCAAAACATGGAAACAGCCTAAATGTCCATCAACAGGTGACTGGATAAAGAAGAGGTGGTATATTTATACAATGGAATACTACTCAACCATAAAAACCGACAACATAATGCCATTGGCAGCAACATGGATGCTCCTGGAGAATGTCATTCTAAGTGAAGTAAGCCAGAAAGAGAAAGAAAAATACCATATGAGATCGCTCATATGTGGAATCTAAAAAACAAAAACAAAAACAAACAAACAAACAAAAACAAAGCGTAAATACAGGACAGAAATAGACTCACAGACAGAGAATACAGACTTGTGGTTACCAGAGGGGTGGAGGGTGGGAAGGGATAGACTGGGATTTCAAAATTGTAGAATAGATAAACAAGATTACACTGTATAGCACAGGGAAATATACACAAAATGTTATGATAACTCACAGAGAAAAAAATGTGCCAAGGAGTGTGTATATGTCCATGAATGACTGAAAAATTGTGCTGAACACTGGAATTTGACACAACATTGTAAAATGATTATAAATCAATAAAAATGTTAAAAAAAAAAGAAAGAAAGAACTTTTAAGACAATGTACTTAATTCCTCCTTCTGTGCTTTAGTTGGGCTACATTAAATGCATGGAAGAAGAGAGCACATCGACATTCAGTTCCTCTGCCCACTTGCACAAATCATTCTTTTCTATCAGCAAATAGAAAATGAGTGAAATGTCAGAGCCAACATAAGAAACCCGGCTTGGAGAAGAATCAGGGGATACAGAAAAAAACAGGTAAAAGAAGGGGAATGAGAGGAAGTCAGAAGTGTGAGATAGAAAGAAAAAAAAGAAAAAGATTTCCATGAACTGAAAGAATCTCCCTCCCTCTACCTCTCATCCTTCGTTCATTCCTCCCTCACTCCCCTTCTCTGTCTCTCTCTCGCCTTTCTCTTCAAATTTATTTTGTCACCAATATCCATTCCCTAGTATCTGCTATCGGGCAGAAGATGTGTGAAGTAACTTCCTGCAATCTTAACTATGTTCCTCACCCAAATGATCACCACAAAACGACAATGTAACAAAAAATTGAAATACTATACAGAGATTTCTGGGAATTTTTTCTCCTTCCCTTAAAACTTCTAGAATCACCTTTAATGTGTTCATTGGAGCCAATCTGTAACTATTTCCCATACGAAGCTAACTTAACAGCTTTGAGTTTTTTGTCATGGTAATGCGGTAAATAGTCATAACATGCTTTGAAAATATATAGTTTTGTGTAAATCTAAACTACAGTTCCATGTAAGCTTGCCCACAAATGTGTTTTCACTAAATCTGGCCAGCATACACCCAGTGGTGAGAAACATATAGAACTCCGTTTCCCTAGCTTTAATGATTTCTTCAACAGAAGGGCCCTTTAGGTCTTAGTTGGATGTAGACCAACAAATTCATTCACCCAGATCAACAAATTCATTCACCCAGTTGGATGTAACTGTTGGATAGGTGCGTCATTGGATTGGCTGCATGTTTTTGATAGCGTTCAAGTTATGTGGCTTCTTGCGATTCAAGTTATATGGCTTTTAATAAAAGGAAAAAACCATTGCCGTCATTATCTTTAATAATTATTGAACACTATCTTTCAGGAACTGTGCTCAGTGCTTTAAATGTAGTGTTTCATTCAATCCTGACAACCACTCTATGAGATTGTACACTGTTATGTATTGAGGCATGTACTGTCTTTGTTCCAACCATCTCCATTTTACAGGTCTGATGAACAGCTAGTAAGCAGTGAGCTGAGCTTCAAATCAAGGTATGCATATTCAAGAGCTCATAAGGCATTACATAGTCCTGAAAGTGACAGGCTAGAGCATTTGGGCAAGGGCTGCTTTATCAAATTTAGCTTTGTAACCAATACTTAAACTTAGGAGACTGATGATAGCAGTCCTATATGCACTGAGTTGATGAATTGGAAGAAGAACTTCTGCAAAGCTCACCAAGACACTCTGAGAGGATCATTCTGTTTTACTTTCCTCACAGCACTTCTCCAAAGTGAATGTGAGCTGAAGAGAGCAAGGATTTTGCCTGTCTTTTCACTGTTGTTTTCAGGGCATCTTAAAAAACTGACTGACCCATGGCACATTCTGAATGAATATGCACTGAATGTTAAAGCTTCATATTGAATTTCAGCCGTAAAAATAAGCTCTGTGCCAGATACCCAGATGAAATGAGAATCAGGCTGTGGTCCCATGGGTAATGTAATTAATCTGTTTTCCCAGTTCTTTCCTTTCTGCATTCATCTGCATGTGTGTGGGCATTTGTATATATGTGTTTGTGTACTAACAGAGGTTTAACTTCCATGTCTGTAGGGGAACATTCAAGTATTTCCTCCAACCTTAGTAGCATGGAGTCTGAAAATGTGCCAAAAACAAATATTTAAAGCACCAGTTGCCTTTGAAAATTATTTAAAGGACAACATATGAAAACAATTAAAAATATGAGCTGTTAGTCTGGCAGCCTAGGTTAAAATCCCTATAAATCCTAATTTCCTAATTAGTTACTATATTCTCTTTATGTTTCTCATGCTATATTAGCACTTTCTTTCCCTTGATTACAACGTTGATATATTTCATTCCATTTTCTGTGAGTATTTCACTGGCTAGAGCTTCCATTTGAATGTTGAATAGAAGCAGTAATAGCTAGAATCCTTGTTCTGTTCTTGATTGTAAAACAAATGCTTTAATTAAAATAAATTGCAAAAGTTGTATATTCTTGTTAGATTTCCATCAGTAATTGTGCCAGTTGTCAACTTATTTCCTCTTGGCTCCAAGTATATACTTTCTTGCCTGCTCTTTGAAAATGGAGACGGGCCCTTTAAATGTTTTTCCTTTGACAGCTGGCATGACGTTAAACTTTGGCAGTAGAGAGCAGTAGGGAGACATTGCAGAAGGAAAGGGTTATCTTTCCTGGTTGCAGTGTGCTCACTGGGCATGTTCCTGCAGCTCATAGAGATTCTCCAGTGCCTGTCTCCTACAGTACAGGTGGCTCTCCCAGTATCTGGCCTTTGAAGCACAGCAGCTTTTCCAAGGTCAGGATTCTACAGAACAGGCAGCTTCTCCAGCACCAGGCTCCTATGGCACATGCAGCTCCCCAATGTCCAGCTCCTGTAGCACAAGCTACTTCTGCAGCATGATGCTCCTGCTGTGCATGGAGGTCAGGAGCAGCCAGTGCCTAACAGCTTCCACTGACATCCCTTTGTATCATTTCATTGCATAGTTCCTCTCCAACAAGACAGCTCCCCATGAATGCTTTCCCCAAAATCCTAGAGTACGTATTCAGCCATTTCTAGAGGGCCTATTTCCAGCAAGTTCCACTGGTATGACACTATACTAACTTCTGTGCCCTCCTTCCTCTAAGGAAATCTGGATCTGAGCTGGGGAGAGAAGAGAAGGGGTCCTCCTTGGGCACTGGGTCTCTGCCATAGGGGTGGTGCTGCCTCTTGTAGTTGCCATGTTCTTTGGCGTTCTCTTTACCTCTCGCTAACCAGTCCCTCACTGATTCCAACAGCTTGTTATAGTTAAAAATTCTTTAAGCTTTCCCTGTTCAAATTGCTGTGTTGTTTCTGTCTCCTAATTGGACCCTGACTGATATGCCAGGTTAAGTAAATTTTTTTCTATACCAATTTTGCTAAAATTTTTATTGTAAACAGTATGAACAGGCACTGAATTTAATCAAAAGCCTTTTCTGCACAAATTGAAATAATGATGTCTCTCTTGTTTTAAATTTGATAATGCAATGCTATGTGTTAATTTTTAAAAATATGAAACCATCCTTTTACTCCTGGGACACGACTGAGATTTTTTACGCACTGTTATCTTTGGTTTGCCAATATTTTCTTAGTGTTTTTGTGTATATGTACAATACATGTAAATTTAAATTATAATTCTCTTCTTGTTTGTCCTTATCTGGTATTAGTTTTGAGCTTATGCAAACCTTATGAAACACCTTGGAAAGAGTTAGACCACATCTATCATCCCAGTTCCTTTTCCTTCTGGCCTTCTTGTCTTTTTGTTTGAGCGGCTGCTATAGAATCTCTTCATTCTCTTTGCCTTTGCCTTAGATCCCCACCATCTTTAATTTGGGCTCTAACAAAGGCTTCCTCCTTTACCCATATTGTAGCTATCCAAGTTATCAGCTTCAGACAGTCCCCTGTTTTCTTACATAATACTCTTAAAAACTTATCAAAGGCAAATATGTGCAAGCCACTGATAGAACTATGTATTATAAGAAAAACTCTCTTCCTGGAGGACTAAAAATTGATCCCAAATTCCTAATTGCAGTTTACCCTTTAGACACAGACTTTAAAAATTTATAACTAATACATCATATGTGTTCTTTTACTTTGTTCCCTTTTTCCTAATTACTCATGTAGTCAACAGGTTTAGGTTCAATGAGTCTCTGTGTTTAGACTAATGATTCCCATCTTTGTCTCAAGTTTATTAAGTTCATGAGATCTTTGCTTGTTATCACTGGTGTCAGCACTTTTTGGGGGTAATATTTCTCTTTGTAAAATAATAAGAGTAAAATGCAATTAAATATACAATTAAAAAAATTTATGTGCTAAGATGCTGACATTCTTATAAATTATAAAGCAAGCACCACCACCACCACAAAGGTAATTTATTGAATGGGGTATAATCATGTAAATTTAGAACATAAAAGGCAATTTTAGAGTTTTCAAACATAATGTCTGAAAGTGAGTATTGTTTGAAGATATCAAAATGGTCAAGGGCTCTATTTATAAAAGCTTTTGGTGCTTCCTCATTCCCTTAGAAACAAACCTAAACTTTGGAGCACATCATTCAATGCCATCTGCAATCCCAGCTTACTTCTCGAGCTGGGCTCTCACTGTTCTCCCACTTCTTCTTTCCCCATGGACGACTCACCATTCTCAAGTGTGCCTGGTAGTCATGCCTGTTTCTGTGGTTATGACTTGCTGTCAGTCAGCCTTTACCTTCACATCTTCCCTCCTTTCAAAGTCACTCTAATTCTCCTGTCTTTTGGAAACACCAACTCCAACATGAATCTTTTCCCTTTTCCTTTAAGCACCTCCAGAACAAATTAATTTCCCTCTATGTTCCCATAAGACTTTATTGTTCGGAACTGTATCTTCTGATTAGAGATAACTGTACCAGTTTGGGGTGCAGTATAAAGCACATTTCCTTTTACTATTTCAATTAAATAGCCTTGGTCATCATCCAACCTCTTTCAGTAACGTCCTCATGTTCCCCGGGTCTACATTGTAGAATAATTTAGAGAATAATAAAAGTTCAAATAGCTTGTTGGCACTTGTGTGGTGCTTACTATGTGCATTTTGTATATATTAAAAGTACATTAATGCATTTGGTTATGACAACAACCCTGTAAGTAGATATTATTATAATACTTACTTAATAGAGCAGGATACTGAGGTTCAGAAAGATTAAATAACTTGCTCAAGATCACACAGCTGGCCTCTACGGCCTGGGTGCGTCACTCTGAGGCTTATGGAGAGAGATGCTGCAGGCAAAAGGTGAACACACTGGTTTTGTGAGTGACTCTGAAAACCAGGGTGGCACAGGCAGCTTTGGGGGCTCAGGTGACAGTGTGACACAGAGTAAGAGAGACAGACACCCTTCTCACTTTGGAGTGGATCTCATTCTGGCTTCAGTGCAGTGAGGATTCAGGGGAAGCCAGTGGCTTAAATACCTTAGAGGGTTCCGCTTGGGCAGCTCTGAAAGCCACCATTCTTAGCACATCTGTTGGCCATCATGAGGGGCAGAAGCAGCACTGACACAGGAAAGGCTTCAGGCTCAGAGTGTGCTGATGAGGAAAGCTTTGGGGTGTTAACTGTTGCTGGGGAGAGCTCTCTGGAAATGTCAAGAGGTAACCAGATGAGACTTGGACAAACGGTCCTCTGTTACGAGGGATTGGGCAGGAGACACTGAAATCTGTATTGTTATGATTAGTGAGATTCCATAGTGCTTACTGCTTTGTGAAGTCTAGAACCATTTTGGATGCCCAGATGATCGTATCTATTATCCACAATTAGCTTTCAAGGTATGCACTGTTATTTCTGTGTTAGAAGTCTAAAAAAAAAGGAACTCAGATAATTAAATAACTTACTCAAGACCAGGATTCTTGTTTGAAGCAGACCCGAGGTTCAAACCCAGCTATTTCTGACTCTGAAGTTCATATTCTCTCCACTGTGCATGCTGTCTTCCCAGAATGATGGGGGAAAAATACTGTTGTGTATCCTGTTTGACACACACAGGCAAGGCATTCCTTTCTCAGTGCTTGGCATTTCTCATGACCTAGGAATTAGAATTCATTGATATTTTCATAAAATGAAGTCCCCAGTGAAAGAGTTTTGTCCTCACCCAAGTTAGATAAACCTCTGAATGCTGCTACAATCTCATGATTCCCAATATGGTTTTCTTTAGAAACCGTGAGTTCAGATGTAGCTATCACTTTTCATGTGTGGATGAAGCCGTGTGTATACTACAGTTGTTCACTATCAGCTCATATGGCAGACAGATGAGCTAGACCCTCCATTTCCCACAGTACATGGTCCAGCCTCACAGAAGTAATTTCTTCATGTTTACAACAAAGTGTGTTTCCCAAGACATTATATGCCTCAAAAATCTGCACGTTATCTTACTGAAGAAATTCTCTGAACCTCTTCTTATACTAAAAAAAAAAAAAAAAAAAACAAAAAGTGAAATTGTGTTTCAAAAGTAGGAAGGAGAGAGGGTGTTATAATATTCTCAACTG